TCTGGAGTGGAGGGTGGAGCTCTAGGGACAACATGCCTCTCGGGAGGTTTGGGAGGGTTCAGACCTGGTTTTGGGTCCTACAGCAGCTGATCTGCAGGGTCCCACCTCCTAAGGAGGGAACCAGACAGGGAGTCTGTACCCCAGGAGAGGGCCATAGAGGCCCAAACTTGGGACAGTGTCTGGAGGCTATTCAGACCCAGTGAGGCTGGAAGCAGGTGGGATCCAAAGGTTGGGTCCAATACAGCAGAATGGGGACTGTCCATTGGGGAGCCCTGACCCAGCGCCATAACAGCCTGAGTTTTCAAAGTACTGAAGTAACCCAGACCAGGGAAGTGGGGGGTCTCCATCCCCCTCTAATGGCTGGCCTGCATAAGAGCTTTATCAATCGGGGGGGGTTTCAGTTAAAGAAGTGGATTCTTTCGCTCCTATGGCAGAGGCTCATGCTTCTAGTGCTGAATTCCGGGGTTCAAACCCTGCTCCGGGCTCAAGGTTTTTGATCACACTTGGAGCCCACTGAAACCCATCGCGGGGTGTTGGCTGGGCAGCCATCACTACTGTACCCCGTTCCAGTGGGAGCCCCAGGCATCCAGCACCTGTGAACCGCAGCCTCCTTTAACATCGGTGCCTTGCTGCGGATTCAGAGGCCTCACCAGCCAAGTCACTCAAACCTGCCGGCTGAAATCCCCAGCGGGACCTGCACCTGCCATGCACTGCTCGGCATGCTGCCCTCTCTAGCAGCCACTGTTAACCTGAGCTCCCTGCTGCCTCCTTTCCCCGGGGGGGGGTCAGACACCCCAGGGACCTTGCTGAAGAGGGCTGGGGGAGAACAGCGAGTGTCCCAGCTGAAATCCCAGCGCGCTGCGAGGGCACCTCTGGCTATGGCGGGCTCTGTCTCCAGCCCAGCTCCGTGCTGCGGGGAGGAGCCGAGAGTTCAGGGACACGCCGGCTCCCATCGGTCTCCGATACATGCAGGACGCGAACGGACCAGGGTCGTGTCTGGTTGTTTCACCAGCACTGAGTGGTGGATCTACCTGAGCTCAAACAGCTCAGACACCAGAATCCCCAAGCCCAGGGGATTAGTCCAGAGGGGCGAGAGAGACTCACAGGTGGTTGAATTCGGTGCCATTGGCCCATGTCCAGGGCTGACCCTGCTCCCTCCGGAGGCCGATCCAGTGGTCATAGACACCCTTATGGCGCAGCAGGAACGCCTTAAAGAAAGCTGAGGGACAGCAGGTATCAGCCCCAGCTCCAGTGCTTCCCCACCCCCACCCCCCAGGGCTCTGTGCCGCAGAGAATCCCAGTCTCATATTCATAGAGTATCAGGGTTGGAAGGGACCTCAGGTGATCTTCTAGTCCCACCCCCATCCCCAATTAAATCATCCAACAGATGTTTGCCCCATACCCCTAAATGGCCCCCTCAAGAATTGAACTCACAATCCTGGGTTTAGCAGGCCAGTACTCAAACCACTGAGATATCCCTCCCCCCATATTGAAGGGTGCTCAGTTTATTTTCGGCGGGGGTGTTTCCCCTCCCTTTTGCAAAGTACAAGATCACCCAGGCAGTATTAACCCTCCCCCTGCACAGAGCAGCCCCGCCCCGGTGCTCCCAGTCACCCGCACCCCAAGTCCCCCTGGGCTGGGGGCAGCTGCTGGGTCTGAGCTCTCTGCAGAGACGTCTCTTCTCACAGATCAGCCCCCGCTCACCACAGCAAGGCAGGAGGAGGGAGCGAGTCAAGCTGAAGTGGGAGGGTCAATGTGAGAGGATCCCCTCCTCCCGCGCCTCCTCAGCTGGCTGCTCCTTTCCCATCCCCACAACAGGAGCACTGGCTGGGTTCTCAGTCCCTCTCCAGCAGCCAGCAGGCCAGGAGATGCCTGAGCCAGCCCTGCCCTAGGCAGAAGCTGTCTCCCTATTTGGGGAGGGGGGAGCGGAGAATGGGCAATCCCTGTGATCACACACTGACAGTAGGGCCCTGGGCCCAGCCAGGGCTGGGATTCAGATCCTGGAAGTTCATTCACTCTGTGTGACGAAGTGGGACTGTTCTTAATGTTTCCTCTGAATAGTGTGGGGGTGCCTCAGTTTCCCCTAGGCAGTTCTTAAGTATCTAGGTGGTGGGGTAAGGGTGTATGATCATTGCAGTGCCCTAGAGGGCATGTGTGTGCAGGAGTCTGGACACAGAGAATGGCCGACACCCTGTTTCCTGGCAACTGATGGCCTGGGCCCTTCCCCCCTGCAAGGTGAGAGCTGAAGGGTTGGAGAACAAAGGAATCAGGTGACCTCCTGGCCCGGGAAAGGAACAAAGCCCAGAGGAGGAGGGGCTGGGGGGGTTTTCAGTTTGGGGCTGGCTGGGACATGGAGTGAAGTGCAGACGTGGTTGTCTGGCTCACTGCCCCCCAGAATGGACCCAGCTGAGGGGTCCCGTTCTCTGCACCTGCAAGCTCTGTGTTAGACCATGTTCCTGTCGTCTAATAAACCTTCTGTTTTACTGGCTGGCTGAGAGTCCCGTCTGACTGCGAAGTTGGGGGGCAGGACCCTCTGGCTTCCCCAGGAGCCCCGCCTGAGCGGACTCGCTGGGGGAAGCGCACGGAGGGGCAGAGGAGGCTGAATGCTCCGAGGTCAGACCCAGGAAGGTGGAAGCTGGGTGAGCTGTGTGTCCTGAAGACAGGCTGCTCACAGAAAGGCGACTACCCCAGAGTCCTGACTGACTTCATGGGGAGCAGTTCCAGAGCATCGCCCAGGGACTCCGTGACAACTGGTGGCAGCGGTGGGATGTACTGCACCCCGTGGATGGCGCTTCCTGCAGTAAGTGACTGGGGAGCAGTAACACGAAGGGGGATTGCCGAGGACCAGGCCTGCTGAAGGCTCAGAGAGGAGCGGTTTCGGGGGGCGGTTAACCCCTGGGAGTGTGTGACCAGCGAGAAGTACTGTGCAGTAATGGGGTCCCCCTGGGGACTGCAGTGAGCAGTCTCAGGGGCGGAGGAGTCTGCAGCTCGACCCTGGCAAAGAGGTGGTAACCTCGAGAAGGGCTGGCACACTAGGGGTTCTCCCTGGAAACCGTGGGGAGCTGAGAACACACGGGCCTGTGAGTCCACAACAACTTGGGAGGAGCGGAGTGATGGCCTGTCACCGTCTCCTTAAGAAGGACATTGTAACCCTGTGCAGAAAGAGAGGGTTGAGCGTTGGAAAGTTCACCAAAGCAGAGTTCATCGTGCAGCTGCAGGAGGATGACCGCTCTAAGGAAGATTCCTGACCCCAACTGGGGCTATAGCAGGATCTGGGAGCAGCTGGAGCGGGAGCCAGGCATCGCCAAGACTCCTGTCCCCGACCAGACGGGGGTCTTCACGATCAGGTTCCCCATCGGGGGATCGAGACGGACGGGATTGGAGCTGAGTCTGAGAGAGCAAGAGGACCGTGGGAGACAGCGAGAGCCCGAGAAAGAGCTGCAGAAGCAGCAGCAGCATGAACTGGCGGTGGGGGAGCGGAGAGGCCTAGGGGACCTCCCCGGGGTGAGTGGGGATAGATCCCGGGGGGCCAGTTCCGCAGGGAACCTCGAGACTAAATTGCTGCCCCTGGTTAAGGAGGGGGGATGTGTGGATGCCCACCTCACTGCCTTTGAGCAGGCTGGCGATTTGAACCAGGGGGACCCTGCGGAAAAGCCCCGGTGTCTAGCTCCCTTGCTGGGTCCCAAGGCCACAGACTCCGTCAGCCAGATGGTTGGGGATGTGGACGGGCTCCCACTCCTGACCCCAACCTATATGTCTGTGTGGAGTTTCCTGGGGCCAGGCCCCTCGGACCTCCAGTGGGAGCAGAAGGTGATGGTCAATGGGGAGACATTCTTGGGGTGGCCAAAGGGCATGGGCTGCATAAACCTTCCCACATGCAGCCTGCGACTGCTATCGACCACCCCTGACCTAAGGGAGGGCGTGAAAATGGAAGGGCCTGGTGTAACTCCTACCAAGGAATGGGAGAGATGCTGGGGCATCCATGGGAACGTTGAGTGGCTTCGAACTTCCCCAGGTCACCGGCTAAAGTGACCCCGCTCAGTTCGATCTCGAAGGGGGAGAGATGTGACGAAGTGGGACTGTTCTTAATGTTTCCTCTGAATAGTGTGGGGGTGCCTCAGTTTCCCCTAGGCAGTTCTTAAGTATCTAGGTGGTGGGGTAAGGGTGTATGATCATTGCAGTGCCCTAGAGGGCATGTGTGTGCAGGAGTCTGGACACAGAGAATGGCCGACACCCTGTTTCCTGGCAACTGATGGCCTGGGCCCTTCCCCCCTGCAAGGTGAGAGCTGAAGGGTTGGAGAACAAAGGAATCAGGTGACCTCCTGGCCCGGGAAAGGAACAAAGCCCAGAGGAGGAGGGGCTGGGGGGGTTTTCAGTTTGGGGCTGGCTGGGACATGGAGTGAAGTGCAGACGTGGTTGTCTGGCTCACTGCCCCCCAGAATGGACCCAGCTGAGGGGGTCCGTTCTCTGCACCTGCAAGCTCTGTGTTAGACCATGTTCCTGTCGTCTAATAAACCTTCTGTTTTACTGGCTGGCTGAGAGTCCCGTCTGACTGCGAGGTTGGGGGGCAGGACCCTCTGGCTTCCCCAGGAGCCCCGCCTGAGCGGACTCGCTGGGGGAAGCGCACGGAGGGGCAGAGGAGGCTGAATGCTCCGAGGTCAGACCCAGGAAGGTGGAAGCTGGGTGAGCTGTGTGTCCTGAAGACAGGCTGCTCACAGAAAGGCCTACCCCAGTCACAGGGGAGGTAAGGTCAGGGATGCTGGCTCCTCACTGCCCTCACCCCGGGGGCAGAGCCCAGGTCCTACTGCAGCAGCCGCCGCTGAGCCAAGGCCAGTGTCTGGCAATTCGAGAGTCTCTCACCATTTCCTGCTCACTGTCGATCCCAGCCAGGGAGGCACCCGGGGCAGAGCAGCGGCTCTGGCTGTCCGTCCAGCTCCCTTCCCTCTCGGAGAAATAGTAGCATTTCCCTCGGTATCCGACCCAGCTGTCTGGGCACGAGGGTCCAGCAGGGGGGCACAGATCAGCTGATGAAAGCTTAGATGCCAGCACTGAGAATGAGACAGTCACACGGAGGGTAAGAGTTGCACCTAGAATTGGGCATTTGACTGGTACAAAAATTGGTCAATTGACCAGTCAAATGTGTCAGATAGTGGTCAGATATTTTAAAATACTAAATTTATCAGAACAGTAACTAAAAAGAGCAAGACGTCATTGTCTCCAGTAGGTTTAGCTTTAGATAGATACGGATCTACCTAATTTTTTTTAAAAAATGTACTTCATTGACAGGTTTCAGAGTAAAAAGAAAAGGAGTACTTGTAGCACCTTAGAGACTAACCAATTTATTTGAGCATGAGCTTTCGTGAGCTACAGCTCACTTCATCAGATGTATACCGTGGAAACTGCAGCAGACTTTTATCGCAAAAAGAAAAGGAGTACTTGTAGCACCTTAGAGACTAACCAATTTATTTGAGCATGAGTTTTCGTGAGCTACAGCTCACTTCATCAGATGTATACTGTGGAAACTGCAGCAGACTTTTTTTTTAAAATCTGCTGCAGTTTCCACGGTATACATCTGATGAAGTGAGCTGTAGCTCACGAAAACTCATGCTCAAATAAATTGGTTAGTCTCTAAGGTGCTACAAGTACTCCTTTTCTTTTTGCGAATACAGACTAACACGGCTGTTACTCTGAAACCTGTCAAAGGTTTCAGAGTAACAGCCGTGTTAGTCTGTATTCGCAAGGAGAAAAGGAGGACTTGTGGCACCTTAGAGACTAACCAATTTATTTGAGCATGAGCTTTCGTGAGCTACAGCTCACTTCATCGGATGCATATTCCACGGTATGCATCCAATGAAGTGAGCTGTAGCTCACGAAAGCTCATGCTCAAATAAATTGGTTAGTCTCTAAGGTGCCACAAGTACTCCTGTACTTCATTGAGTTATTTTAACTCAGAAAAAAAAGGCAAAACACTGAAACCAAGTTCTGAAAAACACCAGTGAGGCTCCAAGGCGCAATCCGAAAGGCAGGCTGCCTCCTACCCCCAGGGCTCTCGCTGGAGCATTTGATTGTGGCCAAACAGGCAGTCAATTGACCGGCTTGCCAAGCCTACTGGGATCCCCAGCTGGGGCTGGTCCAGGGCAATCAGACGCAGGGGGACGGAGGCGTTTGTCACAGTAAATTTGCCTGGCAAGAAGGATTCCAGGGACACTCCCAGCCTGGGAGGGACTGACACAGCTCAGAGCATTTCACCCCAGGCACAAGATTAACAGCTGGACCTTCAACCTCGCAACAAACAGCAGGTGAACAACTGAGAAGAACGTGGGAACTTTCACTCAGGGACATGAAAGCCACAAGGGGGTGCCAGAAACCACAGCCACGGGAAGTGACCTGTTGCACTGTGGGCCAGGAATGATGTAACTTGATTCACCTCCTACCTGCAGACTTTTCTTTCCCCAAACACAGCAGCAAGAAAGGCACTTTCTGGAAGCCCTCACGGCACTGTAACCCTTTCAGAGCCATGAAAGAGCAGCAGGGGGGTCACCCATAAGTGACACCAAAGAGGATTTGAAAGGCCTGTCTAGTTGAGAGGAGTCGGACTCAAACCCCTCCAGACACTTTTGAGCACATCACTTTTCTTTGCACCACAGTAACTCGGTAGCTGGTTTTCAAGCCTTCCCATGTGGTTGACGCTCAGCGTGGAACAGACACTCTGAGTCTGGAAGAGTTAGGAAACGTGGCAGCGGTGATCTTAAAACGAGCATGTGTTCACCTCACTCACAAGGCATGTCTGACCCTGTAGATTTAACTGTCCAGTGCACGGTAGCCAACACCCCTCCCCTACTGAACTGAGCAGGGAAGTCAGTGACTAACAGTTGATGGCACAGGCTGTCTCCACCATCCATCTCCAGGTCAGATGCCACATGTTCTGCAGAGCTCCCTGCACCTGCAGGTGTGTAACCAACCCTAAGCTCACAGATTCCCACCTTACACAGCGAGAGTCAATGCTGCCCATTGCAACAGCCTGCCATTACAGCAGGGAGCTGGGATTCAGGGCCCATCTGTATCCGAGCAATCTGCACTGGTATAATCACAGTGACGCAGTGACATCAGGGCAAACACCTCCTGGAGATGCGCTGGAGCAGTGCGGCTCGCTCTGGTAACTTCCTGCAGCGAACTGCACCAAGGCAAGCTCCTTTGTGCACCAGTGCAGTGCGTCTCCTTTAGCGGTTTGCACCAATTCAACTGCACGGATGTCATGACATCGGCACAGAGGATTCCTAATGCAGACAGACCTGGATTCAATCCCCTCTGCCAGCTGCTAAACCCTCCTCGGGCCCAGTGATCAGATCCCAGGGCAATAGAGAAATCCCACCCCCGACAGTCTCCAGCACCCCCTGCCCCAGACAACAGGGGGATACAGCAGGGTTCATGTTCACCGCAAACAGATGCCCTCTGCACGAGCACACGCCGTCTGTGCAGCCGGGGGGAGCGAATGGTGCTACGGGAGCCTTCATGGCCACGCTCAGCGATTGGGGGGTTTCCACACTGCGCTGGTGGAGGGGTCTAGACTGAGTTCTCCGGCTCCTTTCAATAACACGGCAGCACCTGCCGCCTGGCCACAGGCGTGACCTGAAGATCCAGGAAGGCCAGGCTGGTAACCTCAGAGCAACACAGGGAAGGCAAAGGGCTCAGGGTTGCACTGCACCCTGTCCCATTGGACACCCTGGTCAGGGACTGCTTCACGGCGCGTGGCAAAGGTGACTTGGACCCAAAGTGCTCAGAGATGGGCTGGGGGGGGCTAATGCTATTCGACATTGGTGAGGCCTCATCTGGAGTACTGTGTCCAGTTTTGGGCCCCACACTTCAAGAAGGATGTGGATAAATTGGAGAGAGTCCAGCGAAGGGCAACAAAAATGATTAGGGGTCTGGAACACATGAGTTATGAGGAGAGGCTGAGGGAGCTGGGATTGTTTAGCCTGCAGAAGAGAAGAATGAGGGAGGATTTGATAGCTGCTTTCAACTACCTGAAAGGGGGTTCCAAAGAGGATGGCTCTAGACTGTTCTCAATGGTATCAGATGACAGAACGAGGAGTAATGGTCTCAAGCTGCAGTGGGGGAGGTTTAGATTGGATATTAGGAAAAACTTTTTCACTAAGAGGGTGGTGAAACACTGGAATGCGTTACCTAGGGAGGTGGTAGAATCTCCTTCCTTAGAGGTTTTTAAGGTCAGGCTTGACAAAGCCCTGGCTGGGATGATTTAACTGGGAATTGGTCCTGCTTCGAGCAGGGGGTTGGACTAGATGACCTTCTGGGGTCCCTTCCAACCCTTATATTCTATGATTCTATGATTCTATGTCAGTCAGATCGTCCCGACACAGAGAGTGCCCAGGTGCAGGGGTCTGGGAGGGAGCAGGAAGAGGGTTGGGGAGGAACATCCCCCAGGAATCCTCTGTCCCAGGGGCAGAAGCCAGACAGGCTGGGAGGAGAGAGGGACCGTGGCAGGTCACGGGGAATGGGATGCACAGAGACTGTAGATGGAGGGGAAGGGAGCAGGGCGGAAGCTGGGAACTCACCTGCCAGAGCAATGATGGCAGCGATCAAAGCAGACGATACAACTATCAGTGCAACCACAACTCCACAGGTTGGACTTTTCTGGCAGTTACAAGGAGGGTCTGAAACAGAAAGACCCGTCAGGCAGGGCTGGGAGGACACGTCTCACTGACAGCACCAGGGCTGGAGCTGCCCTGGAACATGCACCGTTCTGTCGATTGCTCCTTCCCTCAGACGCTCTGGGAGAGGAGCCCGGAGGGTCAGGCAGACCCCCCCCACCCCCAACGGCAGATGGAGGGTCCATGGCTCCCCAGAACTGCCCTGGGGCTGTTACCAAGATCCGGCTCTGTCTGGGTAGCAGGGCCTCAGAGCAGCAGCCGGGCCATGGTAAGAGCCGCAGCTGTGGGGAACTACAGACCCTCCACCTGCTCTGGGCAGGGAGACTGGGGGAGGGATACGGACCAGGGGCTGCTCTTGGCAAGTGGAGGGTCATCCACGGCTCCCTGCAACTGCCTGGACTCCCCAGCTGGACTCGAGCTGCCAGCCAGAGGCGGGGTGGGGGGGACCTGAGGGGGAAGAGAAGGGGGAGGGGCAGGGCCAAGTGACAAAAAGCGGCTCTTCGCTCTCAGCAGCCCCAGCTGCTGGCCCCATCGTCTCTCTCAGCGACACTCAGGTCACAGATGCTGCAGCAGGTGCTGGGCTGGGGTCGGCTCCTCTCAGTCTGAGTGGGTCCGATTTGGCAGCAGCAAAGCCGAGGCAGAGGTCCTGGCCCTGGCTCCCCGTCCCTGCTCCAGGCTCTCCAGCCGATCTGAAACCCAGACGGACCAAGCAGGACGGGTCAGGGGTGGGGGAGGCGATTTGTGGTTTCTCGTTCCCTGCCCAGCAGCCCAACCCCCTGCCAGAGGCGGTGCCATGATGATTAAAACCCCTTCACTCCCATCGGCCCCTCTGCCCCCCAGGGCCTCAGAGACCTGATCTGCTACAGGCCCCGCTCACCCGTGACAGGCACTCAGTTGGGGGGTGGGGGAGAAGACCCTCCTCACACACACAATCCTCCTGGAAGTAAGTGTGAGTCGGATATCAGAAGGGGTGGGGATGGGGCTCAAAACAGCCCTGTCCCTGGCCCAGCCCCCTCCTTGAAGGACAGGACTTGAACCAGTGTCCTGCGCTCCTCTGCCCAGCCCCTCCTTTCCCTTCTGGGGGGGCTCTCCCGACCCCCTGCCCTTCGACCCGGGGCCCGCCCCCCAAATCGCCCCCCTTTGGCACAGAATCCGCGCCCTTCGGCCAAGGACTGGCCGCCGCGCTGCACTCCCCATGCGGTCCCCAGGCACCATCCGAGCCCCGCCTCCCATTCGGAGCCCTGCCTCGATTTGGTCCCCAGCCCCCGCCCGAGCTCGGCCCCCATTCGGAGCCCCGCCCCCCATGCGGTCCCCAGCCCCTGAGCCCGAGCCCCGCCACCCATTCGGGCCCCAGCCCCTCCCCCTCCAGTCCCCGGCCCCTCCCCCTCCGGTCCCCAGCCCTGAGCCCCGCTCCCCATTCGGGCTCCGGCCCCGAGCCCTCCCCATTCGGTCCCTTCCCCCTCTGGCCCTCCAGCCCCTCCCCATTCGGTCCCCAGCCCCTCCCCCTCCGGGTCCCCGGCCCGCCCCCTCCCCATTCGGGCCCGCGGTCCCCCCTCGCCCCAGCCCGGCTGTGGCTGGAACCAGCCCGCAAACCCCGCCGCACGGTGAGCGAGCCACCACCGAGCAGCCAGCAGCACCCACCGGCCCGGGGACCGGGAGCATCTCACTCCGCGGGAAGAGCACCCGGCGCCGAAGCAGGGGGAAGGAGCTGAGGTCCCACCAGCCAGGCTCGACCCCATTACCCGCTAAGTTTGCAGCCAATCAGAGCCGACCTAAGAGAACAGCTGAGACTTCGGTTCCCAAGTTTCATCACCACAAGGGCCAGTCCCCGTCCTCAGTCCCGCCTCCATTTAACCCGGCTCCCCCTTCTCTATTGCATCCGACACAAACTGCTTGTCTTCGCTGTCAAGGCCCTTCCCGTACTGTCCTCTCCCAACCGGACATCTCTCATTCACCGTCCCAAGGTGTTGACTCCCACCTCCAAAACTGTATCTATGCAAACTGAGGCACCTATCCTCCTTTCAGGTATTTTTTTCATCCCTTGACTGGTGACACATGTGAACCCCCCCCCGCCCTTCGGCCCGGGGCCTGCCCCCCGAATCACCCCCCTTTTGCCCAGAATCCCCGCCCTTCGGCCACGAACCGGGCCCCGCCACCGCGCTGCCCTCCCCCCCGCCCGAGCCCCGCCCCCATTCGGGCCCCAGCCCCGAGCCCCAGCCCTCCGGTCCTGAGCCCTCCCTCTGCCCATTCGGTCCCCAGCCCCTCCCCCTCCGGGCTGCCGCCCGAGCCCCCCCCACATTCGGGCCCGTGGTCCCCCCTCGCCCCAGCCCGGCTGTGGCTGGAACCGGCCCGCAAATCCCGCCGCGCAGCGAGCGAGCCACCGCCGAGCAGCCAGCAGCACCCACCCACCCGCGGCCGGGGCAGGGACCCCTGGGACCCGGAGCGTCTCACCCGCAGGAACTGCGCCTGGCGCCGCAGCCGGGGAAAGGAGCTGAGGTCCCAGCAGCCAGGCGGGCTCGCAGCCGGATCGCACCGGGTGAGTTCGCAGCCACAGAGCGGCTGAAGAGCAACCGGCTTCCCTGTGACCACTGCGCCAGCTTCGTTTCCACGTGGGTCTGAACAGCGGAAACGTCCGTGCCTGGGTGTCACAACAGCGGCCGATCCCCGCCCTCAGCCCCGGCTCCATTTAACCACTGGACTCCCGGCCACTCCGCTCCCGACAAACCTTCCCCCTCTCTCCCGGGCTGGCCTGGTGCCCGAGCGGCGTCCGCCCGGCCCCCGGGCAAAGCTCCGATCGGGGCTCAGTCCTCGCCCTCCCTGGCCTGCCCGCCCTGCCAGCCCTCCTCCTGAAACCTTGTCCTCCCTCTGCCCTCCCCTGCTCCCCCGCCCCGACCCCTCTGATCGCTGCTTCCCCCTCCTTCCAGCTCTCTGGGGCCCTTCCACAGGCTCTGTCCTTGGTCCCCTGGGGCTGACCAAATAGTATATAAACACATGGGGCGGGGAGGGTCCTTAATGGTTTGTTTCGGTGTAACAATGTGTTACAAGGAGGGGGGAGGTCTTGAAAAAAAAAAAAAAAAACCACCAGTGAATGTGACATGGTTTATGGCCAGCCTCCCTCTTCTGTTCTCTTCTCCCTCTGCCCCTCCTCTCTGGGTTGTCTCCTCTGTAAACACAAATTCAACTCCCCTCTCGATGCTGACAACTCACCCATTTGCCTCTCTGCACCAGCCCCATCTCCTGCTGGCCAAATGAACACCTCAGCCTGTCTCTGGGACATCTCCTTGTGCCTACCTAGCTGTCAGCTCAAGCCCAACATGGCTAAAGCAGAGCTCTCTATCTCTCCCCTCCTGGCCAAGCCCTCTCTATTGCCTCCTTTCTCCATCGCTGTGGACAACGCCAGCATCCTGCCTGTCACTCAGGCCCATAACCTGTCATCTTCCACTCACACCTCTCTCTAGGTCAGGAGTGGGCAAACTTTTTGGCCCAAGGGCCACATCGGGGTTGCAAAATGGCATGGGGGGCTGGGTAGGGAAGGCTGTGACTCCCCAAGTAGCCTGGCCCCCACCCCCTATCCGCCCCCTCCCACTTCCTGCCCCCTGACTGACCCCCATCCCTGACCGCCCCCTCTGGGACCCCATCCCCTAACCAACCCCTGTCCCCTGAGTGCCCCGACCCCTCTCCACACCCCTGCTCCCTGACAGCCCCCCCCCCGGGAATCCCACACCTATCCAACCCCCCCGTTCCCCATCCCCTGACCGCCCACCCTGAAACTCCACCCCATCCAACTGCCCCCTGTCCCCTGACTGCCCCTTATCCAACCCCCCCCTCACCCCCTTACCACGCTGCTCAGAGCAGCAGGAGCTCGCAGCCCCACCGCCCGGTAGCAGCAGCGGGCCAGAGCGCCGACGGCGCAGTGAGGTGAGGCTGCAGGGGCGGGGGGACAGCAGGGGGGACCGGGGGCTAGCCTCCCCTGCCGGGAGCTCAGGAGCCGGGCAGGACAGTCCCGCAGGCCGGATGTGGCCCGCGGGCCGTTCTTTGCCCACCTCTGCTCTAGGTCCTCACATCCAGGGCTGTGCTTAAGTCTTGTGGAGTTTTCCTGCATAACATCTCTAAGATACAGCCTTTCCTCTCCATCCACACAGCTAAAATTCCCATCGAGGCTCTGATCACATCACATCTCAGTTACCGCCACATGCTTCTCTTCTCCCTCTTGCCCAGCTCAGATCCATTCAGAATATTGCTGCAAGCTGCAAAGATCATTCTCCTAGTCCACTGCTTTCACCATGTCACCCCTCTTTGCATCCCTCCACTGGCTCCCCCTTCTCTATTGCATCAAACAGAAGCTGCTTGTCTTCGCTTTCAAGGCCCTTCCCGTACTGCCCTCTCGTTCACTCTACCAAGGGGTTGACTCCCACCTCCAATCGGTCCATGCTGCCAGCAACACCCACTTGTTAAATTTTCAGACAACCCCATTCGTGCTTTCTGCCACATGCCCTTCATGCTCGGGAGGAGAGCCCCTTAAACATTTGCAAACCTACCTCATTATCCATCTCCAATTCCCAAATCAAAGCTCTTCTTTGCCCTGAGGTCTACCAAAAATTCAACAATCTGTCTCCTGGGGTGCTGAGACCACTGCCTATCATACCGACTAATACAGTCTCATTATTTCCTTCCACTCCCCTGTCTGTCTGTCTGTCTCCATCTGTCTCTTGTCTTATACTTAGATTGTCAACTCTTTGGGGCAGGGACTGTCTTTTGTACTATTTTGTACAGCACCTAGCACAATCGGGTCCTGATCCATGACTGGGGCTTCTATGTGCTACAGTAATACAAATAACACAGGCTAGAGAATGCCACTATTATGGCTTCAGTGCCCTCCCCCACCACCACCAAAAAGCAGCAAAACAAAAACAAAAAAATCAACCTCCCAGCTCAAAAAGTATGTGTTTACATTCAGCTGGCTAACTCAATGTAAACTACTAGTAGAGGTGAGGGAGAGGTGTCTTTTACCTTGATGTAGCTCGTCCAGGAATGCTATATGCTCAGCCTGGAATTTACCTGGACAAGTGACACAGAGGTTAAAGCCACCAGTGCCTTGTCTCCACTAGGATTGTACATCAAGTTAGCTATCTTTGTGTAAACACACTTTTGCAGTGAAGACCATGCCTGGGAGACTCCGACCTCAAGCCCCTAACTTCTGGTTGAGCTAGACATTATTTGCAACCTTTAAGAGCCCACTGATTGAAAGAGGTTAAACACACACAACATTTCTCCATTTTATCCTTGTGCAATTGACCGCACTCTGCAGTGTCGTCAGTTTCACTGCTTCCCCCAGAGAAGCATTCACCAAATCTTTGGAAGCTGTGCACTGCTTCAGGACAATACAATCAGTCATATCTCTGTCCCCCCCACCACACCCTCCACATGTGTGTTCCTAAAGACCTAATCCTCTTTATTTATACCTCTTCTGTACCCCTCTAACGAGTGCTTCATACACATCCCCAGGGGAAGGGGAGGGCAAATGAGTGCACCCCACACTCAGAGAGACACTGACCTGGGAGCGATTTCTAGACACGGTTGGAAATCTTTTCCAAAGGAAGGATTGTCTGTAGAAAAGGGACTATTTTTGGAATGCAAGGGTTTTTCGTGAAAGATTGTCAAGACTATAGGAATTTCCTGGTTTCACAATATTGTTCTGACACTTTTAAAATCAATCTTGTGTTCACTACATACTCTCTTCCATGCCTCCACCCCCTTTAACCCAAAACCTGAGTTTGTTCTAAGTGAAAAAATACAACTAAAAATGTTTGCAAAAACGTTGATATACATTTAAACATTTGATGAGTCCCACCGCAGAGATGGCTGCATTTCGGCATTGGATGAGCGATCGCTGCGCATTGTTACTATATGGCTGTCAACCAGCTGCTGCACCCAACCCCAGAGGCAGTTATATTTCAGTACTTGGCAAGCAATCCCTGGGCAACGTTGCTGCATGGCTATTGCCAGCTGCCCCAACCCAGAGGTGGCTGCATTTCATGCACTGGGGCTGTGATATACCATAGGGATTAGGCAAGCTGAGGACTCAAGAAGTAGACCTAAAAAACCTGTATCTATGGAAACTGAGGCAGTAACACACCTATCCTCCTTTCAGGTATTTTGTTCATCCCTTTCCTGGTGACACATGTGAAACTGGATCATACCAGCTTCAGGGTAGAGACCATGCAGTTCTAACTAAGTGTCTCTACAGCACCTAGCACAGCTCTTCAGGGCAGAGAAAGTCTCTTACTACATACAGATACAGCACCGAGCACAATGGAACTCTGTTCTGCTGGGGACCATAAATCACTGAACATTAAATCCCACCAAATGAGGGTAAATCCATCCTCATCATCGTATCCGCTCATTATACTCCACACCTGAACATAGCCATTATATGAATAATATACCCCCATATCTCAATGTCTGTACTTTGACCCGTTAAGCTTTTACCCCCAATCGGGGACATTGCAGATTATGTATTCCTTACGCCAACTGTTCCTAAACCGAATTTCGCACCCCTTGATAATCTGTACCTTATTCCCTGATAACCAGAACTTTCTATGCTTAAACTCTGTACCGTTTTCTTTTTACTTCAACATCATCTTAATAAAATTATTAAATCTGCAAATAATAGTACATCATTCATGTGTCCTGGGAGGCCCTTTAGCCCACCTTTGGGGGCTGTAAAAACAACAATAGGGCTGCTGCAATATCAGGGTCTCCCAAAGAACCTCTGATCTCCACCCAAGCCCGTGTCCCCCTTTGCAGAGCAGGGGGTTGGGAGTCAGTTTCACAAGCCACTGCTACGTAGGAAGATCACAGCTTACCTCGTGCAGGGACTCCATGGCTGCAGCACTCCTTGCAGGTCAGGTCCCTGCTCCATGTCCCCCTCTCTGTGCATTAGCAGAGGGGGGAGCCCGAACTCCCCTCTTCACACACATCATGTCTTCCCCCATTGCTAGTGCAAGGAAAAACCCGCGAAAAAAGCCAGCCACAAGGGGACTGCAATATACACAGGGGCGTGGCCATATACTATATTAGCATACTGATCCTGGATTGGACAAGGCACCAAGAGCCGTAACTACATCTGCTGTTGAAATGAATGAAACTTTACCGTGGTGGCGGGACATTTGTAATGACACTGATCAGATTAGCATAAAGCGCGCCAAATCCCTTAAAGGGGACCGAGCTCTTTAGTTTACCCCTCCGACGTGTGCAGCAGGGAACAGACAGCATGGGCCATTGCAGTGTCTAACAACCTGCCACGGCAGTAAAGGACCCAGGGGGTCAAGCACGTGATTTAGAGCCATGATAGGAGCCTCCTGGCTCATGGCCACTTCTTGCTTGCTGGTTGCCAGAAGCCAAAGAGGACCAGAGCATGCAGATTATACACAGCAGTCAGGCAATGACCAAAACCTGCTGGATTATGCAGGGCCCATGGCTGGCTGGCTGCAGGGCTGGGACAAAGACCCAGGATGGGCTTACAGCCGCGTTGCAGCCACTTGACCTAGGGGGCAGTGTGCGGGGAATGGGGGAGCGAGAGAGGCTGCTGGGGCTTGCAGGCTGAGGCCCTGATTCCAGGCAGATGTGGGGCACTGGTTTAGGTTACATGGTGCATGGAGGGGGGCTAGGCTGAAGGGTGCAATCTGACCCTCCAGCCTTCCATCAGTGTTTCACCTCTCAGAGGTGCACATTGATTCCAGGGGCTGTGACTGCGGAGTTCATTCCCAGCTCTGGGGTTTCTTTATCGCAGTCGCTGGGGGCTGCTCCCACCTTCCCTCCCTGATTCTTTCGGTTTTTCTTCTTCTCCCTCCTCTCTTCTCTCTCTTTCCTTCTCCAGCTCCTGCTTCTACCCCAGTTCTTTCTCTCCCCCGTCCCCTTCCTGTGTTTCTCCTGTTCCCCCTTTTCTCAATCCTCCCTCCTTCCTTTCCTCACCTCAATTTCAATCTCTCTCCTCCCCCCCACCCCGTGTTCTCCCCAAACCCTTTCCTGAGTCTGCTCTGCATGCAGCCCATTCTCTGGGTGTGGGGATAGGAGGTTTTCAAGGGGAACCCTGCTCTCTGTGATGAGCAATGTGCAGTCCTTTGGTTTCCAGTGGACATGTTGTGCTACGGTTGTTACAGCCAGACACCTTCCCTAATACTCTGTTTACATGGCTATCAATGCCAGGCCACCCTCCCCTCCTCCTCCTCCTGTGCCCCCTGGCCCTGAGCTGGGAGGGACCCCAGATCCCACCCAGAAATGGCGGTTACAGGGTTTGAGTTTTCTCACGCTGTTTTCAAAGATCAGTCTGACTCCACTTCATGAATTGTCCATTTCCCTCCCCCGCCCACA